TATATATATATATATATATGTAATGGGGGTGAGTGACACGCCTAAAAATTACCTACTTTTTCATATATATGTTATGCTCAATTTTAATGATTTTTAATGATATTACACTTTAAAGAAATGTATTTTGCGTATTTTTTGTTTCAGGTACAATAAATGAAATTTTGAAAAAAATGAAGCTAAAATGGTGCAATTTGAAGTAAAAACGAGCAAGAAAGAAAATTCTGATTTGACACATTTTGATATGTCTTTCTATGCTTAATCAACTTTACATTTCTCACATGTTTTTGAATGAAATTATACTTTAAAGAAAGGTTGTTTTCATGCTTATTTTGTAGTTTTCATGCTTATTTTGTAGGTTTATCTATTAGGAGTGAAACACAACTGAAACGGGGCGAAACAGACCAAATGGAGCAAAACAGTGGAGCTGCTGCAGGGTGGCGCATGATGCGCCAAAATCCAAAGAAATGGCGCCAGAGACGAGTTTTTGCTTGAATTTTCAAAGGGACACTTGTTCTAAACACCCATTGGAGTGATTTAATGCATCTAGACACTTTGAAATGTACTTTTATGAAGGGATATCTATCTTTGATCAATGGATATGTATTTTAAATTCAAAAGAGTTGACTTTTGGATAAAATTTTGGAAGGAATTTTGATTTTTTTTTTTTTAGGGAGGCAGCCTTTTATAAAAGAGAGGGAAGTCTAGGGCTTGAAGAAGAGTTGTTTGGGTCTGAGTTTTGTGTGTGTGTGTGTGTGTGTGTGTGTGTGGCATGAGAGTGAGAGGAAGGGCTTGGAGATTTTCTTCAAGGATTGTAAGAGGAGAGGGAATGTGACAGATTTCTTCTTCATTACATTTCTAGGAGAGAATTGAAAGTACTTGTAAAGAAGGAAAGTGCTTGAAGAAAGCTTCTAGGGATTTGCTTGGGAATGATTGTGAGATAAGTTACGTTCTTTTCTTTATTTATTTTGTAAAGTTGTTTTTATATAGAAAATTTGTGTTTTGTTGTATTCTTCTCATGAATTATGAGTAGTCTTCTTTATCCTTTTCTCTACTTTAAGATATGGTTTTAAATGTCAATAATTTATGATGATTCGATTTTTAATGTCAATAATTTGTGATGATTTCGATATTCATTTACTTTTCGATTTGATCAATTGAAATGTTAAAATGTGTTAAGAGACATGTGTTCCAAAAGGGTTATGATTTCTACAACATTGAGAGAATCACATTTGATATCATGGGAGAGTATGTCATCTATGGAATTGAGTGCAAATAAATATGAAAATGTACTTTGTTGGATGCAGAATTGGAGATTTTAAGTTGACGGATTAAAATCCTCAATTTGGTCCAGTTGATTAGAAATTGATGCGAGATTGTTAGCCCTCAAGTGAGGGAGTAATGGGAGCTCTGGAGTGGCAGTTGGTATCCTCCCAGCCTAACTACAGAATTAGGGACCAAATTATGGATTAGTTAATGTTCTTTATAACACTCGGAAAAGGATAAAAAATAAGATTGCTCCTATTTGACACAAAATAATTTTTTTTATATTTTTAAATGATTTTAATTTCTTCTCAATCCATATACTCATTATAAAGGGGAATGTTGTTTTATTAAATTTGAACTCTTCGTCAGAAAACTCTGCTTAGTTTTAGTAAATTTAATTTTAAATTTTATTAAATTGTTTACTAAACTTAGTTCTTTTAGTTACATTTCTATTAGGATTCATTAAACCCATTTTAATTTGTCTTTCTTACTTTAATTTTTATAGTTTAAATATTGTGATTTATGTTATTATCATAAGAATTTTCATCTTCCAAATTAAGACTTCATACTAGTATATTAGAATTAGCCTAAAGGATTTCTTACTGCGCTTCTTTGTGGGATTGGTACTGAGATTTTTAAAGAAAGCCCTATATTACTTGAAGTGAAATGTGCGCTTGCGCAGAACCACCAGTGTGTGAATTATTTTATATACTTTATATAACATTTCTATTTTGCACATTAAATACTTAATATAAATTGGGTCAATATTTTGACCATATTTTTTAAAACTAAATTATTGCGTAATTTTGGGACAGGTCAAGTTTTTGGCACTGTCATAAAGGATTTTGCGCTGTGCCGGGGATTTAAATTGACATAAAATACACAGAAAAATAGTACACATTAGGGGCGCATCAAGTTTTTTGCGCCGTTGTCGAGGAAGCTTCAGTAAGAACTTTAGGAGAATTTTAGTTAAACCTGTAAGACTTAAATTTAGAATTTATAGTATTATTATATAGTGTGCTTAATTATTGTGTGTTTATTTTAAAGAAAATCCAAATTACCAAAAATATTTTTGATATCTATCCTATTAGTTAAGTTTTTAGATTTGTATATGTAGTTCAGGAGCTACAAATCTTGAATTTTACAAGTCAGATTTGGAGAGGACTTTTAGGAGAGATTTGAAAAGACTCCATGAATTTAATATAGAAATGGTGGAGCAACGACATAATGAATATTCATATTTGAATTATAATGTTAGTAGCTTTGAAAGAGTAAACCCTATGAGAGTGGCAAATTTTCAAGAAT